GCAGAAACATTTCCTAGAAGTGCAGCATTCCTTTGCTATAGTCTTGGACGATCTCCAAAAAGCTAGAGAAGAACTCCGAGACGCAAAGGAGGAACTACTAGCCAAAATGGAGCAGGAAGAACATTCGTTCGAGAAAATAGACGTGGAAGAAATAGAGAACGAAGTAGAGGAAGTATCCACAAAAWTAGACTGGCAAATAGCCGGCAATGTACTATTTGCCGCCTTGGGCATTGCTGCTGTCGTTTGGACGCGCATGCAACCACCCAAAGTAGTCTACTACAGACATCCAGCGGAGCCGCAGAGAAATTCTAGGATTCCGGAGATGGAGTAGAGACGTGCACTAGCCGGTCTTTCTTCTTTGCCTTGGTTGTCTTTTCTCTACCAATTTTGCAGTACAGCGGCGGCTGCGATGTCCAGTCTATTTTCTGCTCGTCCAGAAAGTGTCCCCAGACTGGAGTGGTTGCATGTTCTACCGTGCAGCCCTCCAAAACGCACTCCGAGCATTTTTCGGAGAGAAACAGGATTGTCCTTTCTTTTTTTCTGTACGTGGTTTTGGCGTATTTCCAGCATTGGTACTCTCCTTCCTGCATATGTAGCGCTTGTACGCATTCTTTGTTTGGCGGCGCCGGCACTTCTAGTAGTTTTCCTGGATTTTTGGGTATCGAATGGTCTATTTTCCTAGCCAATTCGTAGTACGTATCCAAACCGGGTCCTTCGGGCACGAGGACAGTCGCTACGTTGTTTTCCCACTCCAGCAATATTTCTTCTCCAGGTATGGCAGTGTGTATGTTACCGTTTGATTCGAACTTCCCGACCGCAAATGCATCCAGCAACGCATCCACAGCCCATGCTACAGCAGTTTCTTTTACCCCTCTGCGCAAAGCTACTCGGTGCCCTTTGGCAGGCCAAGCGGCATCAACGTTTTTGGGTAYTGCGTATCCTAGTATTTTGTAGTCCCCTGCGGTTATTTCTTGCATTCGATGTATTTTGGTTCTACGAGGCACGGAATCCTCTAGAAAGCGCTTGGCTACGTCCTCTCCAAAGAACAACTTACGCAGATTGTTTGTCCTTCTGGACATTCTATCCAATGTTTTCCTGTACTTTTGCAACTCTTTTTCTATGGCTTTCCTGTCTTCTTCTTTTTGCCGCAGGATGGACTGCCTTGGCTCCGACAGTTCCGCGTGGTATCTTTTCGTAGCTTCTACCCACTCGTCTCCTTCCAAGTCGTCCCGTATGTCTTCCAATCTTTGTTGTCGTTTTCTCCTGAACAGAAAGGATATCCTGCGGTCCGTAGGAACTTCTAGTATTCCGAAGAGACTCTTTTCCACTCCTATCTTTTGTGCCTTTTTCGTGCGCCAAACCCACTCCACATGTTCCGCAGTTGGGAGAAAGTCTGCGATTGTAGGAGGATCTTTGTGCACGCGGGTGGGCTTGTTGGACTCCGCCAGCACCGTAGGCGAGTCTTTCGTGTAGCATCGCAGTGGTGCTATCTCCACTGGGTCCAATCCACGCACGTCTATGCGGAATATGGGGCATTTGCGCAAACCAAACTCTGCTATAGTCCAAAGTACGCATTGCTCCCATTTTTCGTTGCCTCGTACGCGTATGCCAGCTATGCGCCCCGTTGTTGCGTGGCAGTACCAAGCTAGGAAGATTTCTTTTGTTTCCTCGCAGCAAATACACAAACATCTATCCAAGTGTTCCGCGAGCGCTAACCACATGTTCTTTGGCGGTTGTACTACGAATATGTCTGCTAGGGGCTCTATGGTCTCCGCGATGGCATTTGTGTGTTCTTTGGAGAAATCCCTACCATAGATGGATATTTCCACTCTGCTGCATCCTCTTTTCTGCACGTCTGGATGCAGGAATGTTCTACGCAGGTGGTCGTTGGGACAATCCACGTACTCTGCCAACTTTGCTCCTACTGGATTCTGCACTTCTCCAGCCTCGAAGTTGGATACTATCTTGTTGTATATTTTTGTGCGTTTACCATCTTCCATCCAAGTACAAACATGCCCGCCTACTTGGTGCGTGTTGTCCAAAATAGTACCTTTGCGTCCGCCCAGTTCTCCTTGCATTTCGTAGCCCAGCTGTCGCAGTCTGCGCACCAAAGCTTTTCTATCCAAAGTACCGGAGAAATCCTGTGTGTAGTCCACGGAGTAGATACCATATCCGTGCGCATCTAGCAAAGTAGCAAACTTGGGTATCTTTTCCTCCACGGTTTCTATGGACAATTCCGAGGTGTCTACTTTGGCTACGAAAACCGCTGCGGGTTCTCCGTGCAAACTGGACCACTTGGCTGCCATGTGGGAGACGCGGTCTACTATTTTTCCTTGTCTGCAGCTGTGTACTATTTGGACATGTAGGAACGTACCAAATGCCTCCTGGGTCGCAGTGGATATTTTGGAGACCAGCGTTTTTGCGTTTCTGCATATGCGTCCATACATGTCGTTCTCTGCGACAAACCCGTATACAAACACATCGTCTACGAACGGTGGTAGCCCGGACAGCGGCTGCGGGCTGGTAGTACCTTCGTTTCCGCGAAAATAGTCGCACTTGGATATGTCTGGTAGTAGATTTTCATCGTATGCGTTGTCCAACAGCAAATGTGCTAGCACCCTATTCTTCGCACGTATACCCATCTCCTGCAATGTTGCCGAAATACTCTTTTGCTCTTCCATGTATATATAGGGCGTCGAAGGTTTTTGGCTACTAGTAGAAGCATAACGAATCGTTACCCTTAGCCCACCAACCTTTTCTTGTGCATGCAAAGGTAGCGGTCACAGCCCTTGCTATCCCACGGACATTCCTGGGGGCCCTTTCCTTTTTTACTTCGTTGTCTAAATATACCGGTCGATAACCTTGGATATGACTCATCCAGTCCCTAAAGTATTTTATTCTCTTATAAGGTGT